CTCACTGTCGCCTGCTTGCCAAACTTTCATGCCTCGGAATTGACCCTCTCGTTCTCTCCTGGATCCAGGATTTCCTCTCCTGTCGCACTCAACTCAACAACAATTAATAGCTCCTCATCCACCCGCGCTGACGCTACTTCGGGAGTTCGCCAGGGCTCGGTTCTTGGTCCCCTACTCTTTCTGATCTTTATTAATGACATTCCATGATTTCCTATAACATCCGCCTTTTCGCTGACGACTGCGTCCTATACCGAAGAATAGCTTCTTTTGAAGGCCATCTTTTACTTCAAAGAGACCGGGACGAAATCCAGGCATGATGCACCAGGTGGTTAATGACGCTAAACAAATCTAAATGCAAGTTAGTCCAGTTTTCACGAAAACGGCGAGCATCTCAGTTCTCGTACAAGTTAGAAAATAACTTAGTCGAAGACGTCCCGTCCAATAAATACCTCGGTGTGACTCTAACTAACGATCTTACGTGGAACGCTCACATCGAACTTATATGCGCCGAGGCGTCTCGCTGCCTCGGTTACATAAGACGAAACCTGAAATCGGCTCCCCCGTTCGTGCGAAAATTGGCTTATGAGACATACATTCGACCCAAATTAGAATATGCTGCGGCCATTTGGAGCGCTCACCAAGTATACTTATTAAATCATCTCGAGGCAGTCCAGAACCGCGCTGGCAGGTTTATTTTGAAGAAATACGATTGGTCGGTTAGTGTATTCGCCCTAAACAGCGAACTGAACCTTCCTTTACTAAACGTCCGCCGTAAGATAGCGCGACTCTGTCTCTTTCACAAAATTTACTACTACCTCCCTGCGCTCCGAGACCCGCTCCTCCTACCCCCCAGGCGATCTTCATCGCGGCTAAATCACCCGTGTCACGTTTCCTGCATCTCAGGCAGCATATCCTATTTTAACTCCTCCTTCTTCCCTCGTACTATTGTAGACTGGAACGACCTCCCCTCACTTATTGTGACCCGGACGGATCCCACCACATTTCGCAACGCACTTTGTGCACATTTATGTTAGTCCCACTGTGCCTTTTTTATTTGTTTGTCTTGTGCTTTACTGGCTGTATCAATGTTTTCATCCCCTTACATCCCCATATACCCAGACTAATTTGTGTATTGCCGTTGCTCGTGGCGATGCCACGTTGTTTTGCAGCATCTCATATATTCGCATATGTCGTTGTTACTGTTTTATACTCTTGTGTTATGTACCCCCCCCCCCCCCCCCCTTATGTAATGCCCTCATCAAGAGCCTTTAAGGGAACTTGAGTAAAAAAAAATGACTGGTTTGCGCTAATCTTCAATGACGCTGAGCAAGTTTTAATTGGATCATTCCATGTGAAACGTCCCAGACGTAACGCTCGACCCCTCCCGATTTCAAAAAAAAAAAAAAAAAATGCATGGCCTTTTGCCGCAACATCTGTAGCCATGCCCTGAAATATTTTTGCCGAAGAAACGTTTTGATGATGTGAGCGCGGTTTTAACTTTTAAAAAACACAATGAAACTAGGCATCACTCGATAATCGAGAAAAAATCAGCTTTTTAGTGAAACACCCAACAATATTTTTGTCAAATTTGCGCAGATTTCGACTTACAACGGGTTGGGCTTGTAAAGTTTTGTTTCATTTAGATATTAAAAGAAAAAAAAACGAAACAACTTTGAAAAATGTAATATTTTTGTTATTTTATCAAACGAAATCTAATTGCTCGTGGGACTTAATAGAACTTTTTACCGGCTGCCCTGCAGGTATATAATCTAAAAAAATGTTTAAAACCGCTCAAATAAATATTTCGCAGTAAACAAAAATCGCGAAGTTGCAAGAAAGTGGGTTTTGACGCATAAGCAGCTGTTTATTTCACCCTGAGTTGGTTCAACTAAAAATACAAATTGTGGTTGGCTCGGAAGACCAATCGATAGTCGTTTGATTCTGAAATTTTAATCAAGGTAATTTTTGTTTAACGTGAGAAAACAATTATTGAAGTTGAACTCTCGCACCACAATCCGACGTCGCTTCTTAACGCCTCTTAGCCGCACAGCACGCCACCTGCGACGACAGCTGACACGATTAGGTCCAAAGAAAGAAGGGAGTTTTCTGCCGCTTCCCCTTGTCCGTCTTTCCGGCTTCAAGGGAAGAAACGGCGGGCATCGTGTGATAATGGGGGGTGCTGCCAATGCGTAGCCATAGGAGGCCCGTTGTGCCCTTTTACCCTAGGGCGGCTCGAAAGGCGACGCCTAATACGGGCGGCATCAGTTGACGTAGACTTCTCCTAAAAGGGAAACGCGATGAAATTGATCATACTGCGGGGAAAAGCGGAACTGTTCAGCGACGCAAGAATTTGCCGTTTCAAAGACGATTAAAACACAAACGAGGCGTGAGCCTCCAACTGCGCACATTCATTAGCACCACATTGCATCGTCGTATGAAATTGCCCGTTCACAGGGCTTTTGTGTTGCTGTCTACATCTGTCCTGACGTCGAGAAGAGAGAGTGATTGCGATGAGTACGTAAGAAACAGCTAGCTTACTAGCGGATGCTCTTACCTGGCAGCGCTAAGCATTTGTTGGTATCAAGACACTGGAAGTCCAAAGGAGGACACAGCCGCGCAAAACGGTCAAGATGGGAAAAGCCATCAAGCAATAAAAGTAGAAAAAAGCCTCTTCAGCCAAGATGTACCCGACAACTCTAGGTCCTGCTTTCTACCTGCGTGCGCACACCGTGACACCGTCACACGCTTTGCCTGGGTCGACGGTGGCGTGCTGTGCAGAGAACAGGCGCAAGGAACGACGCCAGGTTGCGATGCGAAAGCTAAACTTCAAATGCTGCTTTTCCTCTTTAGAACAAAATTACTTTACTTAAACGTTCAAGAACAAAAGGAAATAAACTCTTTTGTAGAAGTCACCATGTTACGTATTTTTCTTTGGGCCACGTCAAGGCAGAATTGACGGCTCTTTAAACTGCAGAACGCAATTTCGCATTTTTTTTTCCTGCAAGATATTTAGTTGTAAGGCCTGAAACCTTTTTTTGTGTACAGTACACCTAAAGGGCTGTCATTAAGAGTATTTACAGTCGCATGCAGCAAAGCCATATTTTGTAACCAAACTAAAATGTGCTAAAATACTCATATATTCCTTTTATTTATTAACTGCTTCGAGCATACCAACTTCCATGACCATAATCCTTATTACATAGCAATCCAAATACCGTAGGGTTTTTAGGCAAAAATATTTCAGTGTTCCGTAAATAAATCTTACTTTTCATCAATTATTGAATGACCCGAAGTTCCACCCCCCTTTTACTAGTTCAAACCGCCATCACCCCATGAGATTTGTTTTCGTCAAAAAAATATGTTAGAGACGCACCACAAACGTTACGGTGAATAGCGATCAATTTTATTTTAGGAATCAGAGGTGGCCGTAGGACCTTTGGGATGGCATGGAGAAGTCTGGGTCACTTGATGCCACCCGTCGTTTAGGCATCGCGTTTCGAGCCGTCCCCGGGTAAAAAGGGCACAACGGGCCGTCTTCTGCCACGCGCTGGCTGCACCTCCGATTATTACACGATACGCGGTCATTTCTTATTTTGCAGCCGGAAAGACGGATTATATACCTGCAAGGGCAGCCGGTAAAAAGTTCTATTAAATCCCGGGAGCAATTAGATATTCTTAATAAAATAACAAAAATGTTAAATATTTCAAAAAAGTTTAGTTCTTGTTTTAATATTGAAATTAAAGAAAACTTCACAAGCCCAACCACATTGTAAGTGAAAAGCCGTGCAAATTTAAGAAAAAATAGTTTTTGGTGTTCCACTAAAAAGTTGATTTTTCATAAATTATTGAGTGATGCCTAGTTTCACGCTGTTTCTAAAAGTTAAAACCGCGCTCACTTCATCAAATATTTTTTTTTCGCCAAAATATTTTAGGGCATGGCTCGGACATTGCAACAAAAGGCAAGATTTTTTTTTTGTTTTTTTTTTTAGAAATTGGAAGGGGTTGAGCGCAACGTCTGGGGCGTTTGACGTGGAATGATCCAATAGGAACCGGAAAGTTATTTTCAGTCATTACGAAGTCAATTAGAAAATTTGAGTTAAATATTTGACTTCTCGTGACGATGATTCCACTTTATGATGTTCGCCTGACCATATAACAAACCTGCAAAGAGCACATTAGTGTAGATTTAACGGATTTTGTTAAACGAATCTGTAAAGCCTGCAAAAACACTGTATGTACTGGTCCAATCCTGCGTTTTTTAAATCGTCAGGTATTATAATTACCGATAGCTTGAGAAACGAAGGTTGTGCCGGTTTTCTTGTATCTTAATGTTGCTCCGAAACCAATGAGATTAAGTCATTAGTCGATAAGAACTTCGAAGAAGTTATCGCAATCAATTTGTCAGCGACTGTCCGTACAGAAAATGTCTGCGAGTTTACTTTCTCTATCGCCTCAGAATGTGAAAGCAGCCCATCACAGTAAACAATACAACGACCCCCCCCCCCCCATCCCCCAGCAAACGACGCAGCTCAGTAAGCGATCGATTGGGTCTTCATATTGTTATTGGCCGAAGAAAAATGTGCAAGATAAATGTCGCGCGCATTTATTCCTCGCACATCAGATTTTCTCGGTGTACTGGTATTCCCAGCTTCGTCTCCCGCTGGAATGTTAATATGATTGGCTGCTGTTTGCTGTGATTGTCTGTCGCCGTGATCTGCAGAAAACGGAGCTCGGTGCAATATTTAAAGCATATTGGCTCATACAGCTGTTCAGTGATTTTCGTTTATATTATATATATATAATAATTTGTATCTTTGGTGCGGGCTTACTGGTATTTCCTACCTAGTTTCTCCATCATTTCAACTCCTTTTGTTCAGAAGTGTTGGTTGCTCATAAATATCTGAACTTCGTATTTAGCGTAACTTATTCTGACGGTATGCCGCAAATTGAAAAAAGTAAGTTTAATAATACAACACAGTCTGGTTGTAGAACAGGTAATTTTATTGACGAAATCATGCGTGATGGTGCTTCAAACACAACATGTTAAATGATATAAACATTTATACCGTAAATGATAGGATATACTTTGCTAGAATAAGCAGAGCTTTTTTCGGCATATTCCTGACCACCGCACAAAAATGCAGCATTTTACTGTCTTTCAAAATATGAAGTTTTAATGAACATATACTTTAGAAAAGCCGCTATCAGATGAATTGCTAATGTAAAAATTATTAAAGCCGCCCAATCGCTCGGTGTATATACAGTGCAGTAAGATAATCCACACTGTGTATGTTCAAACTGTGGTGGTATTACTATTTAGTTTGTACAAAATTCCACGTGTGTGATTTAAACGAACCAGTTAATATCTTCTACTTAAGCTGTATAGAATAAAATTGTTGAAGCAGATAGTTGTAGATGCAGTTACTTCAAAGTATCTCTGAAAATGAGTTAGGTTATGTATAGTATAAATGTACGCGGCACTCGAAAAAAAAAAAAAAAGGCAAACGCAAAGTAGAACGTGTCGAGTTAACAAAACAAGTTAACGTAAGTGCTTGTTCCCTGTACTTGTTTTCGATTACCCATTTTTTTTGCATGCTTTGTACATTTTTTTAATATAAATATACACAAAGAAAGCCACAGTCTCAATTAATGATTCTCCAAAGTTCCAGCACCCGAGTTAGCTCCAAGAATCTTTGATTTAAAAGGAGCAATATCAAATCCGTGTAAATTTCATCCATGATCCATCGCCGGGTGAAGCCATCATGCCGATGGTTTGTACCTCGATGGCACCCTGAATACACAATAAAAACGCAGTTTCAGTTAAACTCATCACGAAAGCTCATAAATTATTTAAGCTCCGTCAAGTGCGTTTTTCTTTTTTAGTCCCTTCCATGTAGCACAGCTCTTTGAGCCAGAAGTTATTTTTGTCTTGAAATTTAGGGCCATAAATAGACCGAAGAAACCATAATATTGCCGCGCGCAGGATCACGGACTTCTACAACTTTCTCGTTTATTCTTGCTCCGGACATAACTTCTGTCGTTTATCCCTGCTTATGTTGTTCTAGAAGGTGCGTGTTCATTCTCGCCCCGCGCGCGCTACGCTCGAACCTTCTCCGCCGAATCTTCGAGATAGTGACTCACTCTAGATAAGACGCCGCTCGCGACCTTGTCGAGTCTGTCTCGCCCCTGCGCTCCATCCTGCGGTTTCGACGACATCGACGCCCGCGACACTCTGCTGTTTTTTTGTTGTTGTTTTTTTGTACCCTTTTATATTTGGCACAAGTTCGCCGCATTAAACGTTTATATCTTTCTGTTTATTTATTGTTTTTTTTGGTCACCACCCGTGACATTTTGGTGGAGGTGCGGGGTACCGCGTGCCCCTGCCGCGTACCCCTCCGAGGGCCCGCAGTGCAAGTCCGACGCCTAGTCCACGAAGAACCAACGAAAGCACTTCCGAGATCCGGTTCAGTCGTCGCACCTAAGGCCTACACCCGGAATTCGGACCTCTGCCGCCCAAGACTAAGCAGCCAACGAGGCCAACGATAGACAGCCAGTCGTCGCAAAACCCGTCCAATGCCAGCATCGTATACCTGCCCGTCGCACCCAAAACTCCGACGCCTTTCCACGGAGACGCCCGCGAGGACATCGAGGACTGGCTGCAACATTATGAACGTGTGGCCCGACATAACGGGTGGTCAGCTGAGCACTCCTTGCAGAACCTTTACTTTTTGCTGGAAGGAACCGTGAGGCACTGGCTAGAAAACCACAAGGCTTCTTTGACGTCGTAGGAAGTGTGCAAGCAAGAACTGATGAAGACTTTTGCCTGCCACCACCGACGTGAGAGGGCCGAAGATCTCCTGCGAACAAGAACCCAAGGCCTAAATGAAAGCATCACCAGCTTCGTGGAGGATGTTCTCCGCCTGAGCGCCCGCGCCGATCCTCAGGCTACCGAGGAGAAGAAGCTGCACCACCTGATGAGGGGTACAAAAAGCTAGATTTTCGGCGGTCCCATCCGGAATCCCCAAACAACAGTCGACGAGTTCGTCGCGGAGGCGACAAATATGGAACGGGCCCTGCTAGCCGGCGCCAGACACTACCAACGACACCCTGGCGTAACTACTCTGGCGACATCTGGATCCGACCTGGGCACCACCCTCCCCGGCATCCGTGACGTTATCCGTGAAGTCGTCCAGGAGGAATTGAAGAAGTTGCTACCTGCTGCCACAAGCCCAGCTACGCCCTCAGTCGCCGAGATTGACCAGGAAGAACTTCAGCAGGCGCTGCAGCCAGAAGTTCTCGCCAGCGCCACTCCTGAACCACCAAAGCTGAGTTACGCCGCAGCTACCCGACGACCACCGCCCCCTGCTCTCCCGTATACGGGGCCACCTCGACGTGAACCTCTAGCGCCGCAGTATTCACGACGCCATGAAGATCGGGCGTACGTCCGCTCAGAACCAGCTGCTCCATGAAAGACCGACGTGTGGAGGACGGCCGATTGACGCCCGTTGTGTTTCCACTGCGGTGAAGCCAGCCATATTTACCGTCGATGTCCCTACCGACAACTGGGGCTGCGCGGGTTCTACCCCAACGACCCGCGCCCAAGGTACGACGAACGCCCCCGTGACGTCGAGGAGTACCTCCGACGTTTGCCATCTTCAATGCTGCTCCGCCGTGAGTCCCGCTCACCGTCGCCCAGACGTTCAGCGTCTGCAGCGCCACGACCCCGCAGAGAGAGACTGTCGCCCTTGCGTCGCCGGGAAAACTAAGTGCGGCAACGCCTGGAGGTGGCGTTGCCGAAGACGACCGAAGTAAAGAGCCTCCAAGAACGCCGGAGCGCTCCCACTCTCTCGACGCTACGTATCACAACGACGTCCCTGCATCGGTGTCCAACAACCTAAATATAATTATCGACGGCCACGACGCATTGGCACTCGTGGACACCGGAGCGGACTACTCAGTCATTAGTGGGAGGCTCTCTCGCCGCCTGCGAAAAGTGACAACGCCGTGGGAAGGCCCTCAAATACGAACCGCCGGTGGGCACCTCATCACACCAGTCGGGCGATGCACTGCTCGCGTCGAGATCCACGGTAAGACGTGCCCTGTGAAGTTTGTCATTCTGCAGGACTGTTCGAGGGACGTTATCCTCGGAATGGACTTCCCCTGCGAGTATGGCGCCGTCATCGACCTCAGAGCAAGCCGGCTAACTCTGCGAAAACCTGTTTCACCACCGGAGGAACCCGAAGCGACGTCATCCGCGGTCCGTGTCCTCGCAGATCACGTGAACTTACCGCCGCGGTCCAGTGTTTTTGTACCCATCGGGATCGACGGGGCTTTCTGCGGCGACGTTCTGCTCGAGGGAAGCCTCCAGTTGCTTCTAGGAAGAGGAATCGGCGTCGCAAGAGGCCTCGCGGAGCTCCAAGACGGACACACTTTTGCACTCGTAACAAACTTCCGACAGGAGGCTCAGTACCTTACGAAAGGCACCGCCGTGGGTCACGCCGAGGAACTCATGGACTGAGCCGCAATCGCCGGAATAGCATAAGACATCTCTTCGGGGCCACACGGGACAACGCCGCATTCGCAGTTTGACATCGATCCAGTCCTGCCTACCCCACAACGATGACAACTCAGTGACCTTCTCGCCGAGTTCAGTGAGTGCTTCTCCACGTCGTCAAAGGTGCGCCAAACGACGGTTGCGAAACATCGAATTATTACTGATGACGACGCACTTCCTGCTCATCGGTAGCCGTATCGTGTATCTGTGAAAGTTCTAGAAGTCCGTGACCCTGCGCGCGGCATTATTCCCCGCTTTAAAAAGCGCATTGTCCCGATGCAGCACAAAACGAAGCACATAACGACGCCGACTGTTTGTCTAGGGCCCCAGTCGAATCTCCTCCCGAAAGCACTGACGACGACGATGACGCCTGTTTTCTCGGCGCAGTGACAGATGCCGACATGGGAGCACTTCAACGAGACAACCCGGAATTTTGCGCCGTGATCGAACACCTTGAAGGCCGAGGAAGTTCAGTTCCGCGAGTCTTGGCCCGAGACTTGTCAAGCTTCGTTCTGCGGCGAGGCGTGCTCTTTAAGGAGAACTTCGGAACGAGCGACCCTGCCTGGCTGCTGGTTGTTCCGGCCAGCCTGAGAGAAGAAATCTTTCAAGCATGCCACGACGACCCGACGGCTCGACACCTTGGCTACAGCCGGACGCTCGCCCGGATTCGTGACAAGTACTACTGGCCGAGACTCCCGAAAACAGTCCATCTGTACACAAGGTCGTGCCATGAGTGCCAACAACGAAAGAGGCCTCTGACGAAGCCAGCAGGATTCCTGCAGCCGATACCCGCCCCGACAACGCCCTTCCAGCAGGTCGGAATGGACTTACTTGGACCGTTCCCAACATCGACGCAAGGAAATCGGTAGATTATCGTCGCTACCGATTATCTTACACGATACGCCGAGACGAAGGCCATCGGGAACAGCGCTGGAAGTCGCAAAGTTTTTCGTCGAGTCCATCCTCCTTCGACACGGCGCACCCAAAGTGTTGGTCACAAATCGAGGATCATCTTTCATGGCACACCTGACTCAAGAGGTTCTTCGGCTTAGTCACACCAACCATCGACAAACCACCACTTATCATCCGCAGACCAACGGACTAACAGAGCGGCTCAGCAAGACGATCGCTGACATGATCTCCATGTAAGTCGACGTGGAGCACAAGACGTGGGACGAGGTGTTGCCGTACGTTACGTTTGCGTACAACACAGCGGTTCAAGAAACCACGGGAGTGACGCTTTTCCAACTGGTACACGGCCGGGCGGTTACCATAATGCTCGACGCCATGCTGCCTCACGTGCCCACCGATGATGGCAACGACGACGCTCAACTGATCTCCCAGCGCGCGGAGGAAGCTCGTCAGCTGGCAAGAATCAAGATTCAAGACCAACAGCGAGTCGACGCAAGCCGGTATAACCTTCGTCGCCGGGACGTCCACTTTCAACCCGGAGACCGGGTAGGGGTTTGGACACCAATACGGCGCCGCGGTTTCAGCGAGAAGCTTCTGAAACGCTATTTCGGACCCTACAAGATCATCCGACGGCTCGGCGATCTGAACTACGAAGTCCTTCCCGACGGAACGCGTCCATCTGCAAGACGTCAGCCGCGACCCGAGGTGGTGCACGTCGTCCGGCTGAAGCCGTATTACGAACGATAGAACTTTTTACTCTTGTCGACGAGTGAACTGTGGACTCTAAACTGTGGCTCGCGATTCTGTTGTCGTTTTGTTTTGGATTTGTTTTTGTTTTGTTTTTTTCGTTTTGTGCTGCATCGGGACGATGCGCTTTTAAAGCAGGGGATAATACCGCGCGCAGGGTCACGGACTTCTAGAACTTTCTCGTTTATTCTTGCTCCGGACATAAATTATGTCATTTATCCCTGCTTATGTCGTTCTAGAAAGTGCGTGTTCATTCTCGCCCCGCGCGTGCTACGCTCGAACCTTCTCCGCCGAATCTTCGAGATAGTGACTCACTCTAGATAAGACGCCGCTCGCGACCTTGTCGAGTCAGTCTCGCCCCTGCGCTCGATCCTGCGGTTTCGCCGACATCGACGCCCACGACGCTCTGCTGTTTTCTTTCGTACCCTTTTATTTTTGGCACAAGTTCGCCACATTAAACGTTTATTTTTTTCTGTTTATTTTTTTTTTGTCACCACCCGTGACAATATTCATGGTCAGAGAGCTAATTGTGGGGACAATGTATATCATAGTTTCTTCGGTCTATTTATGGTCCTAAATATATATATGCATATATCAAGGTCAACAGCAATACAGTAAATATAAAAGCAGTCTCTGTAATAATTTATATTGAAAGATTTATAGAACTTCTGACTTCTTTCCTACTTCTTCTAAAGTAGATAAAATGTCAAATAAAATAGAATTCATGGAAGCTGGTCTTGACAAGAACATTTTCTCTTTAACTGCATTCTTTAGGTTGCTTATGCAGGTAGCCTTGCGAATTAAGTTTTAAAGGCTAAATACTATATTCGTCTTCCCTGCAGTTCCACCAATCAAACTGAACCGCAATATGTCCGTTAAATGTCTTGATACTGGACAAGAAGGTTATTAAATGACTCGGAAGCAAATTTAATTAACAACGACAAGTATCTTTAATCTAGCTGCCCTAGCTGAGCTGCTCTACATTATGGTTCGTCTTTAAACGAAGGAGGTTAACTTGCCCAATAAGTGCTCTCGAAACCCTTAATGTTTATCTTAACGCAATATCTAGGAGATGACAGCTAATTTTGAATCAAATACAGAAGCTACCTTGTGTGCGTCTCCGAGTTCCATCTTGAAGTTTTGCACCATTCTAGCGGTGAAGTACAGTACTTGAAAAAGAGCCAACTTATATCCGACGCAACAGCGTGGTCCGACACCGAAAGGCTGGAATGCTCTCTTGCAGTACGTTCCTTCGTTTTCGGGACTAAACCTGTAATCGACAATCATAATGCGAGCGTGATACTCGTGGAGCAAACCAGACTTACGCAACCCGTTCCTAGTGACGGCTTACTTCTACCTAGTTACCCGTTCTAACGAAGTAATAACCTAGTTACTTTTAAAAGAAGGAACGGGTAAAAGTATTTTGTGTTTTTGATAAACTAACTAGTAATGGCATTGAATGACTTCTGGAGGGGAACGTCTGCAATAAAAATACTGAACGAAGTTCTCATCCTTAGTTCGCGCCTGTAATCTGCACGACGGTTAAATGCTCAATAGGCCATAAATAGGGTATGTACTTGGACTACTTGGAGATTTATTGTACAGGTTAAAAGCGCTAAAAAGATGACGGAGTAGTTAAAGGGCGACGAAAAGCGTTCTGCGCTAATCGTCGTCCTTTGACCTATAAGTTGTCTTTTTAGCGCTTTTATTGTATACAGGGCCGTAAAATGTTGTACACAAGGTACATCAACATAGCTACAGTTACCCCTAAATGAAGGCGTTATAGAAACAAAACAAAAATATAGAAACTACAGATGTTGGGAGATGCTATGCTACTGTCTGAAAAATGACAGATGCAGAGCAATGATAATATGACACGTTATTTCCAAGCCGAGGCAATGCGTAATTTTTTTTTTTTAAATCTCAGTAAAGAGTAACGTACTTAATTACTTTTTGATTGCGTTACATGTAACGGTGTTTGATTACTTTATTGCAGTAACTATACATGTCTGGAACAAGCTCGCGATCGCCAGTCATAGCTTTTTCCTCATGATTGAATGGTTTAATATTTATTCGCTGAGTTTTCGGGGCGAAACTTAGGTGGTAAACTTTGATGTTCGTCTGGGCCGCAGTACCTTTGTGTCAGTATGTCCGCTTCTTATACAGTTTGGGCTGAAATTCCCACTCCGAACTCTTCCTTGGCATCACTTGCCACAGGCTATATTATGTCTCAAATTATGAAATATTTTAAAGATTGAGACGACGGCTACGCGTTTGACGAATCGACCCACCGATAAATAAATCAATGCTTTAGTCACGATTAATATTTTTAACCAGTTAAGCCGATCAATTTGAGAAAATGAAGGAAAACTTCAACGTGTGACCACGCAGACGTGAACGAGTACACCAGTATGAAGGCAAACTTTCAAAAAAATGTCGACTTAAAGTAAACTGTAACTCCAGACGAATGGAGAAGGTTATACGTGTCCCAGCAACTTCAACACGTGCGAGTGTCCGTTTAGCAGAGCAAAGACAATTCTGAACAATCAAAGGAGTTCACTATTGCCGGAGATTATCAACGCATCTCGGTTCCCTGAGATTAAAGTAATAACTTGTGCGTGTGGGTGTCTTTTGACTGTTGTAAACCCCATATCAAGATTGATTTAAACTTTTAATTTTTACTGCGCCGTTTATTAAATATTCAGCAGAGAAAAAACAGTTAATTTTTACTTTTTAAAAACTATTTTGCATGGGAATGAACGAAACCGATTAGTGGTTTTATACTCGATTATAGGATGGCGATCAATAGGGTTAAACTTTTTAATCGACGAGAAGCCGAGAGGCCAGCCTTGCGTTCTATCACATGTTTTCATGGAAATTCCTTTACAAATAGACCAGTAAACTAAAGAAGCCTGAAGGGTTGTTTCAGCTTATAGTTTCCGCGCAAGCACTTTCGCAAGCTATGCGGAGGGCAAGTTCGTCTGCTTTTTGCGCAGGGGGTAGCGGTGACGTCAGAACGCCGAGCCCTGATTGGTTGATCGCGACCCCCTCTCTGAGCGTCGTCTGCTCCTTTGCGCCGTCGTCTGCTCGCAACGTCGTCTGCGTCTGTCTTACCTTTCCTGCCACTTTCGAAAGTGCAGAAACCAGAGGCCAGGTTCACAAAACGATCTTACGCCAAAAATATGCGTAAGGCAAAACTTGAGTACAAATTTGTATTCCCGAAACGAAATTTTCGTAAGTTTTGCGCAGGTTACGACGAAATCCTACGACAGCTCCGAAGCTGTCTTACGCATTTCTTACGATCAAATCAGCGTGGCCGACAGCGTCGCGGTCGCGACGACCACCGGACGTTTATTTTTCTCCGTGCCCCTCTCACGCGTCCCGACTTCAAGCAGCAAGAAAAACGTAAAAGTACTTAAAACAGACCACGACGAACAAGAACGCTGGATCCACAAACACCCGGGAAGAGTTCCAACGGCCACGATTCCACCGACAACGACCAAGCGAGCTCGGCAGATAGGCTTAGCAGGCACTCCGACTCGGCGACCGTCTGCCCACGACCGGCTGGCGTGCTGAATGGAATATGCCCGCGCGACCCTTGTGAACCTTTCCCGTCTTATACTTTGATTGCTGACCTCAATTTTAAGTTAAGAGGTCAATTTCTTCCTCTTGTCATCTCCTTGTTTTCCGAGGCAACGGTGACTCTCGCCGGTAAAAAAGCGGTGGATCTCCGACAAACGCAGGAAAGGCAAAGCAGCCATCGCTTTGACTAGCAGACGTAAAGCAGACGACGTTAACTGCGCCAACCCACCGACGCCGTTAAAGAGTGAGAAGTTTCGCCGCACACGAAAGGAGGGAAACAGTATTTGGGAGGGAACTTGCGGACACTAACCACGCTCACTCTTGGTTCTTAGCAAACAAACCTCGGCGCCTCGGGACACCTCGCCAGTAAGTCCTTTGACTTCCCTCCTTGATGCGCGTCTGCTAGTTGTTAGACAAAAACAACGTACTGCTCGAGTTATTTCGTTTGCCCTCTCTGAAAGGCGAAGTCGAGCTCGCTCGACTTTCGAAAGTCGCAAGAAATCTGCAGGCAACGTTGCAAGCAGACGACGTTGCAAAGGAGCAGACGACGCTCAGATAGGGGGTCGCGATCAGCCAATCAGGGCTCGGCGTTCTGACATCACCGCGATTTCCTTTCTCATGCGCAGAAGACAAAAATGAGCCCATTTGCGAGGCGTGTAGCACGGCAGCCGTGGCCGTTCCGCACCCGCAGTGCCACATGGCAGGGATATTCTTAAACACCGCGCCTACTCCGCCTACTCTGCGCGACGGGATTGCTCTTTCAGGTTGCAATAACACGATCTCCTTGTGTGCTAGGTACAAAGCAGACGCCGCCGCAGCGCGTGCAGATGTTTGCTTCACGGGCTTTTGCGGGTGCCTCTTTCGGTACTGAGATTCCCAGTGTGATAGAAACCAATCAGCCAATCATCCAACGAAGGGGGCATACCGAGACAAGCACAATTAGCAAAACAATGGGAGTGCAACTTCGTCTGCATCTTTTGCAGGGGTTTTGCTGACTTCGAAACGCCGAGCTCTGACTGACTCTGATATAAGGATAGTGGTAGATCTTAAGGCAGGTTGCTTTGAGCTCAGCTCACTATTCTTCAATCAGAGCCAATAGAGGTTTTTGCGTTCAGACGTCATCACAACCCTTGCAAAAGAAGCAGACGAACTCGTGCTCCAGATTCTGACAAACGACACACCAGGAACAGGCGGCTGCAGTTATGCTTAGCTCGGTGTCTCCATTTCGTTGGTTGTTTGCCTGACTCGTTTCGGTAAGTCGAGGAATCATCGTACTGAAAGAGGCACCCCAAAAAGCGGAAGCAAACACTGGCAAGCGCTCTGGCGGTGTCGCCTAGCAGACGACAAGAAGAGAGTGTGATCGCTACCCGGATAAGTGATTTAACCGCAGAGGGTAGGCGGGGTAGGCGCGGTGTTTCGGAATGAACATTCTGTGTGGTGATGGGGGTACAGAACGGCCACGACTGCCGTGTTACAACTAGTAGTGTCCGCGCAACTACATCCGTAAGTTTGTCTTCAAAGTTTAAATAAATATATTAGAAGGTACTTTTTTTTTTTTTGATTACCCGTAAGATAATGAATGACAGTGCGCAACACCGGATCAGTCTTGGTAAACAGATAGGGGTTTTGAATACTCCCCAGAATGGCGGAGAACAAGGAAATGGGCAGTAAGCCAAAAGTTTTGGCACACGTTTTTTTTTTTTTTTTCTACACTCAGTATTGAGAGGTCAAAGCAGCAGATAGAACGTGCACAGATATTGTTGAATTAGTTTAATGGTATGAATAAGATTACGTACGCTAAAGTGAAAACAAGCGTAGATTTTACTTGTGTGGCAGGCGACCATGACCTGAAAACCAATTTTTCTTATACATTCAATTATTGAGAGTTTGGGTACAAATGCTCAAATGTTAGGATCCTCGCTTAAACGAAGCGAAGAAATATGGCATATCTCTAGCCACCCTCACTGCTTTAATTTTTTTTCGACCCAGTAAAAGCTGCCACCGTGGATAGTCAATGTTTTAAGGGCACTTAATGTTATGTATTGATGGTAGTTGTCTTCCAAATAAACGAGCGAATTAATCAATAATTCAATGCATGCGCTACTTCAAATGTGCCAGGTTGGTACATTCTTTAGAACTTGAAGTCAGCATTTCTCAGTAAAACGGTTCTTGCCATTTCGGCATATCGGATGATATTAGTCTCTCAGCGGTACATTTATATGAATCCAGCAGCGTAGACTTTCAATTTTCCCGGGGGGGGGGGGGGGGGGGGGGGGGCAGGCTGAGTTCTTCCGGGGGAGGGGGGGGGGGGGGGGTGCTGCGCGTTGTTTTTTCGCAAGAACTGGAGATTGAAGCTAAGGAAAACACGCTGGAATTCCATTTCCCATGTATTGTGTGAATAAAAGCATCGTGCGCGCTATTTTGTTTACATGCCGCTACTACCAGCTAATTACACGGCACGTAAACAGCGTCTCGGTAAGGATCACGGCCCGGGCCCGGGGGGGGGGGGGGGGGGGGGGGGGAGGGGTGCTCCCCTTCCCCGCCCCCCGGATTTCAACATGGCCGCACGAGCCCCGTTGCCCCCCCCCCCCCCCCCCATAGTCTACGCCTATGTATGAATCTATGATGGTGTTCTAACGCATTAAGTGAAGGCTATCCCGAAAGGTAAAACTAATATTTAGGGATGTAAACCAACCCGCCATTAAAACGTTGTGCATAGTTACCTGTCAGGATCAAACTTGTTTGGGTCAGTCCAATATTGTGGATCTCTATGTAGTTGCATCACGGGTGCCATGATACACGTTCCGGCCTTAAATGTTGTACCCTTGTACTCAAAGCTGTTTTTTGCAGTTCTTGTGTGGAACCTGGGAATATGGATGACATTTCACGCAAATGAGCAGATTTGTGTTAAATGGGGGAGGCGTTTATATGGCTTAACAAGCAGCCCTTCTATGTAACTGACTCCACATTAATGTTTGATGCACATCAGTTCTCGAGTATTAAAAATTGCCAGCTTTTTAACTAATAAAGGTGCCACATTTGAATTACGTAAATTGAATATATGGATGGTTATTCTACGAAAATTAGCTTATTTTGAAACACTTACTCACGGAAGTGTGAAGACGGAAAGTATACAATTTTATAGTTTACAATCACCACGAGGACACATATTATTAGTATTACAGGTCAGTATTTTTTTCTGAAAGCCGAGGGCATTCAATCTAGACTTCTACCACATTTTACAAATTTATAAAAACGCACATAATTTTAATACTAAGAGTACCTAGGTGAACCTACCCGAAACAACTGCGTCGTCTGAAAGGTTTCACTCTATTCTGGGTACGTACAGACTCCTGATCACATACCTGAGTTTTGTTTACCTAATGTTTACGCTTTGTCCGTTGGAAAATATGGAAGAATAAAATGCAAAACAGTGCTGCCTCAAGAATTCGAGCCAAGGGATGCCAACTCACGTAAGTGAGGGGGGGTATAATCGCAGCGTCTCGTTCATGACCTGCGTCATATAGTTCAGTTTGTGAACCGTGGTGTCATAATCCAGACATCCCTGTTGGATTATATATTCAAGAAATAATATAATTAATAACACGAAGCCAACACGCCTTTTTCTGGGTTGAATAGCGCAACACACCTGGGTAAAATAAGACACCCTCTGCTATTTAAGTAATATGTAGAAATGGACGCATGTTAGGAGAGTAACAACATATACGTAACGACCCAGATGTTTAACCTTTTAAGAAGGAAAGATTTAATTTAAAATGCGTCAAATTAAATGTTAAATGTTACATATATCACATGAGGGGTAGGTGCTCATATGCAGAGCCGTATATGTAGAGAGTTTGGTCATTCGTTGGAAAGTTTAGTAGAGAAATGAGGAGGTGCTGTTGGCCTAAATCGGGCTGGGCGTGTTCCAGAGCGTCTTCAGAAACTCGAATGTGACCAACCAGAAGCCGGAAATAATACCCTGGCGGTGGTCGCGAGAAACAAACCTGATAACTGCATCGGAGTAACTCTCGGTGACTGAAAATATGGTACACATCATGTTTCAATCGCGCTCATTAAAAATGATGGTAGAAGAGTGTGACTAGCGGAACGATCGACATAATCCGAACGCCAAGTGCCGAGGGCCGGGAATCTGCCGTCTGAGCGGTCACACTCTGTCCGAGCAAAACAGAGTTGAGCGGCGCATTTGCTTCTTACATCTTTCTGCATGATCATGATCAAAACAACACGTGCACCCTATTTCCAACCACGAAGAGTCACTACACTTCCATCTTACGTGCTTATTAAAACCATATACGAACATATATCTTTAATCAGAACTGTTTCTCGCTACCACCGCTAGGGCATTCTTTTCGGATTCTGGTTGGTCAAGAGAGCATGCCAAGCCCTCTTTCCGAATCCGAAGTACGCCCTGGCTCTGCCCGCGCCTCCCATTGACAAAACTCTCTGTGTGCACGGCTCTGCTCAGATGTACAATATTATATAATATTATGTGTTGGTTTTATGCGCTTAAATAAGATTTTTCGCTGTGTAATATGAAGATTATGCATATAGTGTAACTTGGAATAAGAATAATTTAAATGATGAGTAACCTATGGACTGCTATAGGAAAACATTATTGTTGCAAATTAGGAACACATATATATTAATATAGACGAACTATACATTCTTCGTGTAGATTTTAAAAATATTCGACGTGGGCGTTTAGAATTTGGAGGAAGAAGGCTTTACTATTGTTTTTCTTCATTTTATGATTTTTTTAGCTAGCAGTTTTCCGAATTATGTAATGTGCGTGAGCGGCTGCGGAATAAATTAGTTTTTTAGGTGGCGTCAATTTTTGTTTTTGTGTTAAATTTACTTATAAACATGAATAAATGCCGTCTTCATATGACTTCTTTGAATTTAATAAAATATTATTGTGTAATCTCTTATGACTTTTCCTTAAATCATAAATTGGTGATGTGTTCTTGTTTTTTCTTAAATATGAGCCAATACATTGTTTGCTCTTTTTGATTCTCACATTTTAATCCCAGAAACAAAACGTGTCACGCTGTTAATAAAATGTAACGTGTCACTTACTGAAAAATAATAAGATCTGATCTCACTTTTTTGATGTCTCGACAAAGAAAAGGCATACAGTGAATTACTTGTTTGACAGGTAATGTAGTTAAATATTTAGTACCCTTGGTAGTGAGTAAATATTACAGGAGCATTACCGAGCTTGAAATTGCGTCCTTCACTTCCTGCCTCACTTTCTCTTGAATTTCTGGATGCATAGCGAGTAACATGGACATAAAGCTCAATGTCACCGCAGTGGTCTGAAATCTGTAAAAATAATCATTGATTTATAAGCATTTAAACTTTATAAATTGTTACATGTTCAGGATGAGACATTATCTAAAATTATCCGTCAATTTTTATTTCTTAATCTTCTTAAACTGTTGGAATTATGGTATTTAAATATGCATTTCCAGCTCATTCTAATTTTCGGTTTTGTATACATATATCAATTACGAATCAAATGTGATACCACACTTTGACTCCAAATGCCCATGAATATTTTTATCATCATCAGTGGCAAAAAGTGTGAAGAGAAAGCGGCATTTCAAAGATCGCCCTTGTCTTTGACACCTCAAATAGATTTAAAATTAAAAAAAACGCGTTGCGACGTCTGCGTTAAACTAGATGGAGCGAAACTCCAATTCTGGAACCACGGATTTACCAAAAATATCTACAATAATTATTTCTAAATGTACCTGAGTTGATGCTGTAAAAAGTAAAGCTCCCACAAACGGCTGGAGATTCCCGCTTTCAGTTGGACGCTGACATGCTCAAATAAACAAAAAAAAATCCTTTCTACACAGACCACTACAGTAAAGGCATGTCATAAAACCGCTCTGCTTAGTTCTAAAAGCATAATAATCATTTTCGTTTGAGCGCTTTTATGATCGACAACGCCATTATTGGGAATTCGGACGCATTCCGGTTGGCTGTCTGCGACATATAAATTTCGGCTTTCCTCACTCTTACCGTTACTCAGAGCTTAAGATGAACTGGCCATGGCTCGTTTTGAGCGTCTTATTCTTACACAGCTGGCAGTAATATTTAGGCATTACAGGCCAATAACTGAAGGAATCAAGAAGCAAGAAGGGTGAATATCAGAAGCCTCGCCAAGCATCTTTTAAGCATTCAGAAGCCGTAAGGAAACAAACGACTAATCAGATTTTATTTCTTATTAACCGTGGTGAAGATAAAGGGTGTTAGAAACGTGTTTATTAAAAGGCAAAATGTCGCCGAACGTTTTCGCTTACCCTCCAAGAAAGAGAACTGTCGTCAGCAACACCAACTCTTCTTCGGACAGGCGCCGAAATTCTTGAAGCCCGCCTGTTTGTTTAAAGTATATATATATATATATATATGTGTATTTGCATATAAGATATCCTTCATATTAGAAAAAGAGTGAGGTTAAAGACACAATGGTTCCATGCCTAGATTTTTTCTTTTGCGTTCACCTTGTATTATGTACACAAACATGAGACTAAAAAACCTTTTTCTGTAAACCTTGGAGCTGTTTTAAGTAAATCTTAAGTTTCTTTGAGAAGAGGTTTGTAAAAGCTAAATATATCTTAAAGTTTATCACCATGATCATGGCAGGTTTTTTTGTGAAGTGTTCGCGTCTACTTTCAAACAAAGTATTTTGGGAGTACAAAATATTGTAAAAGACACTTATTCTTATTTTTTCTACTAAACTAGGATGTGATTTAACATTCGACCACGAACCACCTAGGTGATTCGAATTCGATACCTTTCGTAAAGTGCTTGGAATGCAGTTCGGCTTCCAATAGGTTCTGCAGCATGTCGTTTCTTCGTAGCTGAAAGGCATATGGCAGTTTTTATTCAGTGATGTGCATGAAGACGAAAGTTTTATTTTAAATTACAAAGTATATATCTGAGAAAAATTTTAAATTATGCCAACGTGTACAATTCGAATCATTGCAGAAACATCAGAGGCCCTCACTTAAGGCTGGTTCCCACACTTGGGACTGCTTACATCTGCAGAAGCTTATAAATGACTTCAAACATCTTTAGACGTAAGCCGTCACAAGAGGCTGAACCGGCACTTAGATTAAAAATTTAATAGCCTATGAATGTGATAAAAACTGAAAAAAGTCTACCAGTCCTCACATAAGCAATCGTTAATAAGGTACACAACAATTAGGCGTGGCAATTTGTTTTTTAGTTGTAGACTGGTATTAAAAGTAAGCTATTACATTTGAAAGCTGCTAGTTTGTTACTTTGGTACTTCGGGTGTATAGTAATTAACTAGAATATTTTAGACGCGATAGTTTTGTTGCTGATTAATGATATCAAGGTTTTTCCAATGCAAATTATAATAGAAACATCGGCCTGAAAACGTTGATAGTCCTTTCATATGCTTATGATAACAATAAACGCAGTGCAAGAGGTTGCTTCCAGATCACTTATAGCATTAACAGTAACAATAAAGATTAACAAAAGTAGTATAACCGAGTATTGCAATCCACGTGCTCATTGCAATGCCGAAATTCAATCTTTAAAACTTTTTAAGAATGAATTTAAAGCTTTGCTTCGACACATGGGCGGTATGGTCACAGAAACAAGCCGCATACTTTAGGATTTTTCGTTCTGAGTCGAACAACCTTCTTCATCTCTTCGGCAAATATATTCATGGTAAAACTTCCGAGTATTCGATTAATCCAAAAGAATGGCTTCATAAACACTCCGAGTGTCGTCGTGCATTCTGCAGAAAGATGGGAAATATTTTCAAAATTATTGTTGGTACCTGCATGAAAGCAAAAATAAAAAGTCGTTTTTTATGACACTTAAGATTGCTTTTTGTATATTTTAATTACAATGTATCTGAAATCCCGGTTAGGGTAGTTAAGTAAATTTAAATATGAGTCCTTCAAGGCATCAGCTAGCTTTGAAGTTTTTTTTTGCTAGATGTGCATTTGTCTTGACGCTTAGTTTTATGGAAGGAGTACTTTGTAGACACCAGCCAATTTCTTAATCGCGCCCGGCGTTTTGTGCAGGCTTAGTCTTTCATGTAATGCGAGACATAACTTAAAGTTATATTTCAAACTGATTTTACAAAACGCCGTTAAATGATAGTTGAAAATTACTCAGTATGCGTATCTAGTTATAAGTTGCATCTCATAAATTAAACTCGTGTTGAAACAGAGATATATGCAATTGAGGGCACGTGCTTCAAACTCAGCAGGTCACGATTTAGAGTGTTGTAGTTGATCTGATTGGTATACCTACTGAATTTGACTTCTTATTTAATATTTGTGCTTTGTGCATTAAAATATGTCTGACGCAGATATACCCGCAACGCACCTTCTACCATGTTGATAAAATAAAAAAAATATCATGCCAGTTCGCGGTACGTGAAGCTGGAGTTATCTACTTTGATACCTCTTTTTATGGTTCTGCTTCTTTTGTCCCATATATGTGTAATGAAAGAGCCTTTAGTAAAGTCTCACGCATATACCAAAAGCCTGGTGCATAGAGTACTGGTGCAGTTACAAGTAGAATTCTGTGACAGCGGCGAACATTAGAACTACAGTTCGCGTCGGGAGGAAGTGTTTCGCTTTCTTTCCTTCCTCCTCCGCGGTGGAGGAGGCGGGAGAGCTAACACAACTGCACTTCCGGATTCGAACCATAGTTCTAGCTCTCGCCATTTGGAGTTGTTCTGTACGTGGCAAAGGTTCAAACATTATAGTCGGCAGGTGCATCGTTAGGCAGAGCGCTGACACGAAAAGAGGCCACTTTGAAACATTCGTTAATTTTTTCATTTGTTTAAAAAAAAGGAAATCACCATCAGTGGATCCGGTTTTATTTCTGGGTCGCCCATCTCTCCATGTGCGAACAATGAAGACCAAAAGGCGAGAGTACAGAGATGCGTTCAAAAATCGTTTACAATCTTTCTGGCCCCTCGAAACGAAAGTAACACAACCTTATAGTTCAATGTTAACTGGAATCTTTGAGCGCGCTACCTCTGATCCCAACTCCAGCAATGTTGTGCATTTCAAGCCAAGCACATGCAGAGTTACTAACAACTTAAGAAGCAGAGGGATTCGCGTCTAATGTTCACGCTTCTTTGTGAATCGTTGGTTGGCGTTCCTATTGGCTTAAGTTGAAATTCTATGGAATAACCAGAGATAATAAGGGCGATCGAGATTTGACACTCTCTGAACTCCCTAAGCTGTCAGAAACGTTTTCCTCAATGACAGCTTAAAAAAAAAACGCATGGAGTGGCTTATTATACGTGTGCTTCTTTCTTCGTGATTTCTTCTTCGGCGTTATAATCGGCGAATGCGGCAACCTTATTGGCTGCAATCTGAAAACGAGACACTCGGGTCCTCAATACGCCATGCATTTCCTGCGTTGACACTCACTATTGGCGGCGTGCCCGACCAAAAGCGGCGCTGTGCTCGGCATTGGGGATTGGCCGAGCCATAGCTTCTTCGTGTAATGATGATGCTTACCAAGTCGCCGCCTTAGAGGGAGGCAAATTCTGCCAGTCACGGCGAGGTATATCCTGGTCGTGATGTCACAAGCGGAAACGATAAGAGGGTGCCGGCGATATACCTCGGCGCCAATAGTGAATTTAACAAAATCAGTTGCCTCATCAAAAACGATACTCCTACGCGCCAATTTATCGCGTTTAACCTACCTACTGCGAACCTGCTTAAGAAAATACGCAAAAGAAGTACATGTTTTGCGGTCGACGTAAAAAAAGGGTGCACAGTTAGCCAACACGAGATACGTTATCTTTGTACAGTTAAGGTATCGCTGATACACGCTCTCGATAAAGAATAAAACGCAGAGTTAAAGAAGTCGCCTTGTTCTGTTATCGGTAATACACTCCCGTAGTATCTATCGGCTGAAATGAATCCAAAATATGCGTGAGTAGAATATTTCTTGGAGAGAAGGAATGCAGACGTAATATCAGCGGACTTCATTTCCGCAACTCTACTGACCGGAGTCTGTCCATGGACACGGCCACTGAGGCGGATAGCTTTATCGACAGATAAGAAGCAGCAGCCGCATGCAGTCAGCAGAGGAGTCCAGCTGACAGCGTTCGCACATGAATGTGCTTTGTGTGCTAACGGTCATACTCCCCGAAGGAAAAATCCATCAATGTAACGCTGTTTGGCAGTCAATGTTTTCTAGTGGACCGCTGACTGTGCCCGACTGTACGTCAAGCATGTCTGATTGGCCAACAAGTTACTCTGACCGACAGTCAAACTCCAGTCAGACCCCGCTCGTCGGCTTTCTGATGGTTTCCTGGTGGCAGTCGGCCGCCGCAAAATGCCATCAGGATGTCCTGGTGGTGATTTTGACTGTACATCGATTGCCTCTGACTGTACGTCAGAAAGCTTTGACGTGCAGACAGAAGTACGGTCAAAGGACGTAAAGTTCGTTCGGATACCACTATTTCGTCAAATCTATGAATACGAAAAGTAATTTATGCACGAGAAAACGATTTCGGGACGTGAGCCCATAAAATCGCTGACGTTAGAGATGTGACACGCAACCGACCGACAACCTTGATCAGAAGCCCGCCGAAGCGCCGAACACGACACTTCGCACTTCGCTTCGCCCGTAGAGGCTTCGCCGAGCTTTCATGAACGATCGCTCTCGACTCGTATGTTTGCCCGCTTGCTCCAACCTGTCAATCCTGCCCGGGCTCTACAATGTCTTATGTTTTAGTAGAATTTCTACTCGACAAGACCCAGCCCGTTGTGAGTTCCGACGATGTAAGGGACTTTAGCGGTGTAGTTGAAGACGACAAGGTGTACAAGGTCTACTGGGCCGATGACGCGCGAAGAAAAGGATCGTTCTACGACGCGAAAGTACTCTACATGGCAGGTGAGTAGAACTGAAATACGGCGAATGATGTACGAGTGCTTTGCATAACATGCTGACGGCTTAACTGTATTTGCAGCCGAAGCATCTCGTATAAAACGAATAGTCAAATCGAGTGTCCGTAGCGGTGGCGTAGCACAGCGGTTAAGGTGTCCGATTTGTACGCAAGCGGTCGCGGGTTTGATCCGCTGTGGTCCTGCTTTTGTTTTTTTGTTTTTTTTTTTTTTCTCGAACATTTTGTTTTATCGAGGCACTTGGCGATATTTATGAGTGCGTATAGCTTTACTCTTATATAAATGCTGCCCTTGTTCATGAAATTCCCTTGGCAGTGGCAGTCAGACGTCATCTGATGGACCATCAGATGACGTCTGATGGTCCGTCACGTTCCACCAAGGCTGCTGACTGGCAGTCAGTGTCCCAAATTACGTAGCTTGATGGAATTTTCAATAGGGTCGCAGGGGTCACCTCACTACGCCTGGGTACGGCGCTGACCGTCCCAGCAGCGCTCGACCCTTTCGGGATATTGTTAAAGACATCTTAAGGCTGTGCATAACCTAAACCAAATGTTTTTGCTTAGCTGAGAAAACATAACGTTGCCATTTGTTTCAAGTAAGGATAGTTGCTTTTCGTGGTTGGGACAGAAGAAAACATAGGATAGCATTTTAATTCTCATCGTACCAGGCTGCCAAAACGCAAACCAGCTACTGCATATTCTAAATAATTCTGAAGCATCTACTTGCCTAAGAGAGCTCATGAAAACCAGTAAATATGCTGCACAAAGGAAGATTAGCGATCGATGGGGTCATAAAACTGCTTACAATCAAAAATAATGTACCCGACTTGGCGTTGAGGACAGTACTTCATAAGCTCACATCCTGCTTAGTGTAATATGTCAAAATTCCAGTTTTGCGCTGTTCTTCCGTACATTTTCTATAGCCATGCCGAGGGCTCCATGCACAAAAAAGATCATGCGATAATACTATAGAAGCCGCACTATATTTTCCGCAAGGCACTGGGATGACCCCATAACTCCAATCTACGGGGGAAAGGACGGGGCTGAAATTGCGTTTTAACCAAAAACTATAAAGTACGTCTGACCTTTGTTACGTCGAGTCTCTCACTTTGTCCATTTTAATTCGGGACGTTTTCAAATGAATGCGTACCAACTCGTTCAAATATTCATTCTGCTAATGTCTGAAACTTTATACTAGGCATAATTCTGACATTTTCAAGTCACACTTGGCATTATCTACCTTGAAACCTAAAACTAAGCGTTCCTGGTTGGGAAATTATAATTGTTGATGTATCAATCTTTCTGTATAAAAACATTATGTTCAAGGTACTGGGTATGAAAACAAAATTATATGACCAAAATTGGTATCGCACCAGATAATTTCTCGTGTGGTGCAATAGGTGACAAGCTCACTACGATACCTTCCTTACGTGCAATTGCGTGGAAGGGGCCTATCATCATTCCTGGGATGACATTCTCGGCTTTGACGTAGAACAGACTTGCCGTGGTATGCTGAAAGTTGGAGTCTATTCCAAAATTTGCCCGACAAAAGAAGTCCATAGACAGAGCTTGGAAGGATTCGAGCATTGACTCCTCCCTCCTTTCATCGGCAAGTTTGCCCAGCACCTTCATGAATACGTCTCCTTGTTCAGTGAGGAAAGGCATCATCTGGAATTCAACATAAGGCGTTTTTCACTTGCCTTTTCTTATATGTCGTCGAGATGGTTTGTGTCTGCAGCTAGAACGGTTTTATCGCGGCAACTTATTTACATATTCTTTTTGCTTAAAATGCCGCTGAGAACCACAAAATAATTGTGTTATTATTGGCTTCAACGCGCAACCCAGCAAACAAAATAGAAACTACCAAAATTTATTTGCTAGTGCGTGGAGTGCGTTTCAATATACGTATTCACTTGGCTCCTCCTTTCTAGTGCTTTTTCATAAGCTCTATGGGAAACAAATTTAGAAATTTCGCAAGTTAAAATGTGTAACACTCATTTATAACATTTCTAATACATATTTCTTGCAGCTCGTACCGATGTGCCAGGTCATTTTCGTTAATATTAGAAGGGCCAGAACTGGCGGAGGAAAGCACTTTTCATCACTTTGTCCTCGGGTTCTTATTATTATGGTAACTTTAAATGGCCTAACCAGCTGTACTCTTAGTTAAGCTGGCATGATCTACAGTCACCTATAATCGCTCTGTCGATAATATTTTCTTATCCAGGTGTCTTTTACACCTCAAAAGGTATATTATTGTTTGTTCGACCAAGTTAGCTGGGATGATGTAAAATGATTGTTTACTTGGTGCCACAATGATCCTCCCTGACGTAGACACTGCTAATGGTATACACATCGCAAAATTGGGAGTTCTAACGTTACTTATCACATCGCTTCCGTTTGAGAGCAGCCAAAAAGAAGGACTCCCCAATTCGCCATCTACGTTTTCGACTCAATGAAAAAGATTAAACGCATTTTTTAAATATTTCTTCCATCGCAATTACGCAGTTTCTAGTTCTTAAGTTTTGACGATAATATATAGAGGACATTTTCAGACCCGTGGTACAATACAAAATAGGACCTTGGGTTGTAACTGCATTTTAGAAGCGTATACGTTCACCTTAATGATATCGACAGTGATCGTTTCTTGGCGGGTTTCTTTTTTCTGTGTTTCGTAACCCCCTTAAGTGGAATCGTGTTGGGAGTTTTTAGTTACCGCTTTTAGTTTGCACGAAGTAAATTCAGGCGAGGTGCAGCCTCGAAGAAAACGCCATTGACTTTCCTTGGCATGAATCATGGACGATCCTAGGGAAGAATGCACCTGATCTGTCCGCATGGTGATCTGAAATAACAATTTTGTTAAGCTTGCCTGTAAAAGAATTTACACTTTAAAGTTGCTTTTATAAATCAGTGACTTCGATATTATTGCGTTTAGATTTTAAGTCGGGTAAAAATATTTTAGTATCTGTTTTTCTCATTGGGAACCTTTCTTTAAGTATACTTTTTGAAGGGATGTCAATTAACTAACGAGGAATTTCTATGAGACTACCAGTTATAACTCTGACTAACCACCAGCAAAGAGTGAAGTTATCATCTTGTTTTAGCAAAACGTACCCGGAACACTTTTTAATTTGTAACGAGTTAAGCAGTTTAATTAAAAATTCAGTGTGCTTTATGATCATTTATTTTTACAGATCCCTGGTGTAAATTATAACACATCATGAACCTAATCCGAACACCAGAATGTCCATGATAACCTCCAAGAGTGCCATGAAATAATTTCTAGCAATAAAAAAATAATCATTGTCCGAAATTTTCTAGTCACTTTTTTTAGGATATAGGATATATAGTTTCAGGTTCTTGTAGTCCCAAAGGATGAAATGTCGAGTTTAATTCATCAGTTAGATAAATAATAGTGGGTTTAGCCCGAAACAACCCATTCCCGTTTGAACCCGTCCCACTTCGACCCATTCCCGAATCGACCTTCGCTTTTAAACTTGTCCCGTTTCCATTCATTCTCCAAACGACCTTCCCGTTTGAACCCGTCCTGTTTTGTCCCATTCCCGAAACGCCCGGCCCAGTTTATTTTACGCGCGGCATCGGCTTCTTTTTCATTGCCGGCATTATGGACTATATACGAATACAACACCCTTCTGATTAAACCGTTCCCATTTCAACCGATACCCTAAAGACCCTTTGCGTTTGAACTCGTTCACTTTCACCCCCTTTGACTGAGACCCTGCGCATCGACACCTTTTCGCGAAAAGTGTAATCGTTCTACCCCTGGTTTGCGCACCTTTTCTAGTTAAGAATATATGTTCTGAAATATTATTTCATGCAAATGTATTCTACAAATATGCACCTGAATGACGAAAATAATCCCTGGAGAAAGGGGAACAAGGGGGACAAAGGACAGACACAAATCTCCAAACACAGCTAGGTGACTGGTGCGCGACCGAAAAACTCCGCCTGGTCCGGGTTTTTTTTTTTTTCGGTCGCGCACCAGTCACCTAGCTGTGTTTAGAGCTTTATGTTTGTCCTTTGTCCTCCTTGTTTTCCTTTCTCCAGGGATTATTTTCGTCATTCATGTCCAGCTCGCTTGCACCTTTGCATTTAATTGCATTATGATCAAAAATATGCACCTCTTTCAGACCATCTTCGAAGTTATATGTTATTTTTATTTCAACCACTTAAAGTGCTTTTGCTTTTTTTTTTTATTTTAAGATGGTCCTCATAACGTGCTACCGCGAAAATGTCTATGTACGCAAATCGATACCGAAACTGCAAAGACGACCTTGTCGTTTTTTTTTTTAAATTTTACTTCAAAATGGTATTACCAGGCACCAAATTTTAGGGCTTAGGCTACTGCTTCAGATGAGCACTTCCAAAGACAGTAATAGTTTTTATGGCAGCCTTCTAATTCTACGAGTAAACAGCAACACCGTTGATGGCTTGTTCGCGCTACGTACAATATTTGAAGTCTTGCGTACATTGGGTAAGCTAAAATTAGCGTCAGCATTGCGATGCTACTTTTAGTGTACCCAAAGTGCTTGCGTACATTATTCTAAAACCTCATATTAGTGATCCTGATACCCTGGAGAGCAATAAATCAGACACGGTAACAGGCATATGATTGCGACTTTATTTTATTTTACATTTTCGAACAGAGAACCCTTGCGCACACAGGAAAACATCATAGACCAGACAATGCCTTCGCCTTGTTGAAAAGGTCGAACAGGGGAACCGTGCCATCAGAAAAGCGACACTCCAGTTCTGATAGTTTGTGGTCCTTGCTGACCCACTTGTGCACCCTGGCCCGCACAGCACCACTATTTGCAAGCTGTTGCAAAAGATACCCTTGTCAAAGCCTCATCCCGTTTGATCGAATCGATGAAGCTGCAAATGTTCGGGTGAGTCCTCCTTGACACCGCGTTTATCTTACGGTGCCATCTCCAAGGTTGTTTCGGGAGAAGGAGAAGTGAGGTCAGCAAGGAGGACCACACATTGGACACTTGAACCTACAATGCAAACGAACTGACCCAACTGCGAAGAAATGATGGCCGAAGCGGGAAGGTCAATGTTTCGGGATAGGGCGAAATGGCAAAGGATGAAGCGAGAAGGTCGTTTTAAGCCGGGTCGAAACGGGAAGGTACAAACGGGAAGATTGAATTGGGAATGGGTCGAAACAGGAACCACCCATAATAGGCACATTCGAAAATTCTAAAGCATTAGTTTCAACGGTTATTTAAATAAAAGCAATTAATAGCCATGATCGTTCTACGATCATACGAAAAAATTAAATCGAGTGTTTATAAAAGTTAAACATCATGATGTAAAACGAAATTCTAACTAAAAACACTTCCGTACCTCTTTGAAAGGTAGGGGTAAGACACACATTATGAGCAGTCAAAATAGAAAGGCATGTATTGTATAAGAGGATAACATTCCAGAGTATATATATCTTTTCTACCATTGCTGAAAAAACTTACCCCGCGTTCGGCAAAGTTTTTGAAGTTTGAGACGAAGACGTAGTGCAGAAAATCAAGGTCCTTAACTACAAGGGTCGGAACATCGCCATTATAAAACCTGTGAAAAAGTAATTAATGCCTAGCTTACAAAACGAGTGAAAGAATCTGGATAATAAATACGTTGACAAATGTGATGTTTATAAAGTCTAGATAGTGTACGGTCATGTATTATTTTTGTAATTTAAGAAAATAAATTATCAAAACAGAAGCATAAAAAAAGATAGCCTCTTTGCACTTTCTAGGCCAATGACTATATATTTTAGGTCCTTGAAGAGGCGCTGAAATTATGTAAAAACAGTTTGAAGGGCATATAGCTGACGAACATTTCCTTTTGTAGATTTTCCACGAAAAAAATTAATTCGCAAAATATTTACGCCGTTAGACTCAATTTAGGTGGAGATCAGGGCCCGCTCTAAGCCCCTACCACAGACTTGTGGAACCACCCATTACTACTGGATTGGCATGGTTGATATCGATTGAACACACTCGCTAAGCTCATTGTCACCCTACGGCGACATCCTTTGTGTCTAGTCTGAAGTCTCACACCACCTGTTCTTCGTCTGAGCGGACGAGCGGCAGCATGGAGGTAGGAAGCTTCTGGAGACGGCATCACGCAACCACAGGTTAAGTCAAGGGAGACTTTTGGTTTGAGGGACAGAACCCCAACGACTGCCAAAGACAAACAAAACCAAAAGACGCTATTGAATGGATTTGGGTACCCTTGGACGGGACTTGGGCAGCCTTCAAGGCGTTCCCAGCAACCGCGACCTCTACTTCCGGCTTGGCTTGGGATTTTCTCGTTTCGCTGGATTGAGCCGCTATGTCGCCTCCTCTTCTTGCTACCCCACGCCTGGCAGTCTCCGGCATCATCTGCTACTCCACCACCGTCTATCATCGTCTGCAATGTCCGACGCGGATATAGAAGGTGCGCGTCGGCGTTCGTTTTCGGCTTCATCTGTGTGCTATTCAGCACCGTCTCAAACGTCTGCGACGCTCGTAAGACGCTACCATAAAAGCGGCGTTCTATCATTCCTTCATGCACGAGCCAGGGTCAAATGCAAGCGTGTGTCAGTGTCTGTCGACGTACGATAAAAAGTTACCGGGAGGACTAAAAAATCAACAAAATAAATATGAAGTCCCCCCAGCTTATCTGTTCTTGTTCTATTTTCCACAGGGCATCAGCGAGCAAGGTGGTGAGCGTCATGACGCACCATTAAACGTGACATGAAAAATATTCGCTTTGGCAGGCAAGGCAAAACTTGCGAGCCTCTCGAAGCGAGATGACGGGAAAATACCTGGACAAACGTGGTGCGAGGCGAACGCCTGATTTGCTCCAGCCAAATGGCTCGCAAATTCTTACCCGCGTAGGTATCTCTCGGTATTGAAACCATGGTTGCAATCTCGACGGAGGGCAATTCACAGAGCAACGGGGTCGCTTTTACTGGAACCAACATCCTAATTTAGAGTCAACGCACGCTCTGTGATAACTCTAGCCAGATTAAGAAATATAACTGACGTGAGACGCTAGGCTTAAACCAGTCCCGCTACGTAAACGTGCAGCTTCACAGCGCTTCCAAAGGCGCGTACTTCGGATGATAAAATCTTTCTCAGAACACCTCGCTGAACGCAGAGCGGCTCGAGCTCATAAAAACAAGCAAGATTAACATGCGTAGCTTGTTGAGCATGCCGCAAACGCGGGCAGCCATGCTTGTTATCGTTTGAAACCGAAGCGAGAAAGGCACTCTAGCATTAGTCTTTACTTAAATCTAGATTGTTTGTTTCTCAGACATAAATACACTGTTAGTAAAAATACTACTACGGCACGGGGAAACAATTTCACAGCGAACATTTCACACGTCAATCACCTCATCAATTAAATAGAGCCGAGAAAGTCTACTTACCTATGTAAGCACGTTTTGTTATGGGCGGGGACTAGAGCAGGGCTACTCCCGACTAAACCTCGTCTAATGGCGTGTATATCGCTGCAAACGTGCCTGTTTCTTTTGTTGTTTTTAGAGCGCAGCTCTTAGGCACCCGTATCCGGCTTGAGCGGTGTCGGCGTCGGCGTCGGCGTCGCCGTAACCTCGCGGTGCATGATGTGAAAATTTCCGGCTAGATTTAGCAGGAAAATTTCCCCCTAAATGGGGGCGAGCAGGAGAGGAGGAGGGGCATAGCCCCCTCTCCATACCTTCCCCTCCTCCTCCTCAACAGCTGCACTCTAATTCGGCGTTACAGGGATTTCTAAACGGCTTTCATTTTAGAGCGCAGCTCTTAGGCGCCTGTTTCCGGCTTGAGCGGCGACGGCGTCGGCGTTGGCGTCGGGTCGCCGTCGGCGTAACCGCGCGGTGCATTATGAGACGCGCGAGGTCACTGATGACGTCATCAGTGACGTCATCGGCATCGACATCGTCACTGATGACGTCATCGGCATCCGTATCGTCATCGTCGCCGTCCCTGATGATGTCATCAGTGGCGTCACTGATGGCGTCATCGACATCCGCATTCGTCATCGTCACTGATGGCGTCACCGGCATCGTCGTCGTCATTGATGACGTCATCAGCGACGTCACTAATACCGTCATCGTCATCCTCACGTGACCTAATAGGGATCACGGGATTCCGGTGACGTCACGTGACCCCGGTAGCGCCACGTGACCCCAGTGACGTCACGTGACCCCCTTGAGGTCACGTGACCCTCGTGATACGACGGCGACACCGCTCGGAGGGAGGAGTAGCAGACAGGATGAGGAGATGAGGTGGAGGGAGGAAGGATATACCTTCCCCTCAGTTCCCTTCCCCTCCTCCTCCTCCTCAAGAGCTGTGCTCTAATCCGGCGTTACGGGGAGTTGTAAACGGCTTTCATTTTTTGTGAACCAATTTAGAACAATTTATGCACTCTCGAGGCTCATTAAAGGTTTTTTTTTTTAAATCTCAGTGTCCCTTTAAATGACTGCACTTACCCAAATATGTTGCCGTACGTATCACACCATTTTTGCAAAGCCAGGTGTCGGCCCTACGCGGAAACCAGTACGTGATTAATAAAGACGACCAATATTTTTATTGAAAATGGGAAAGTGTGCACGAGTGATCCTTACGACTAACATTTGCGCCAGCAGTGAAAAGCTTTCTAAAGCATTTCACAGAATTAATAGCGAATGACATATTTTATCGAAGTTATTGCATAATATACAAAAAATAAGGGTCTGGCGTATCTTGAGAAACGTGAGCCTGCACGGGTAGCATGCCATCGAAACGTCTGACTCGGCACAGGCTTGGAAATCCAGGGCTTGTGTCTAAAATGGTTTTTGCTTAAATGCTCTAGTTAGTGGCAGATAGCTTTTCCTTGACGTTTCTGTTTTTTTTTCTCTGGCTCGCCACATAATTCCAAAATTTCATACTTTAGCCAAAGATGTCATGTATGAACCTAAATTCCAGCAGTGAAGCCAGAATTTCACAATTCATTGGAAATTGAGGCCCAAAGTTGCCATGAGAAAACCGAATAGCTCTGGCACCTGTTTGGCGAGCATGTCCAAAAAGATTTCATTTGACAGCCAAACTACCAGCAACCAGCAATGAAGCCTGCCTTTTGCGCTGTTTCGCCACATTGGACAAATATATATGTCCAGACCTCGGCCAAATAAACTAAGATTTGCCTATACCTTTTGGCTCTTGTGGGCTCTCAAACGTCATACATTTCCCAACAATGGATAAAGACTTTCGCTTCGCGACGATGCTTCGCGACGATGCTTCGCGACGATGCCGCCACAAAGCGGTGCAAGCGGCAGGACAAGGCGAAAATAACCTTTACCTTTCGGTGGTATTCTCTGAGGTTTCCGGAGAGAATGCTCGGTTCAGGTCCTGGTATACCCAAATTTCGGAAGTACTCAAAGTTTTTCTTTCTCCATCTAGAGAAAAAAAAATACTTGATATAATATTAGATGAGCATGTTAACAGAACTTATAGATTAATGTTTTGTTTTAGACTGAGGGGCGTTAAAAGAGTGTGAGCGTGTGATTTTTAGGATTACCGCTTTACTTATTCCCAGCGCATTCCTTGCTCAGAATACGTTTTTCTATATTGTATTTTGTCTTAAATACAAATCTGCTCAATCGGCGAGGTTAAAAAAAGGTGTCGGCGGTAGATCTGATGTTAGGCAGCAGTGAGGAACTACTTATAAAATAAAATAAAGAAATTGAAAAAATGTTCACAGGGTGTATAATCTCAAATATAAACTCTGATGTAGGTGATTACATATCGATTTTAGTTTGAAAAGTCAGTGACCTTTCAGATAAGACAAAATAAAGGTGATTGATCACGTTTGTTCAATATAACACCACATCATGGCTTTTGTTGTAAATGCAGACTCACTTTATGAGCAGCTTGAATTGAAAGTTCAATAGCATCTTTGGTGGCACTTTAAGAAACTCAGAGCGTCTTTAATATGAATATATATAAATATTGTGGGTTGTCCTTTTCTTTTCGGTGAGCTTGTCGGCTAATGACGCAATTCATTGGTACCTGAGGGGCAATAAGGTGATCGAGACTAGCTACATGTTGCCTTTGTTGACTCGTCAGTGACCATAAAAAGCAAATAAACAGTTATTAGGACATAACATTTATGTACATAGCAAGATAATCAAACGCAGCGATTTCATTGTAATTGACACACAGGTGCACATACACACACGCACACACACACATATATATATATATATCGGTCATGGTGGCGGGAGGACGAAGGCGTGGGTATATAACTGAGAAGAAAAAACCTTTAGTAAAACGTCCGTTGTTGCTGTTTTCACTGAGGTTTTTTTTTCTTCAGTTATATATATATATATATATATATATATATATATATATATATATATATATATATATATGTGTTCTTTCTTTTTTAAATAGCTTAGTTTTTTTTGCGGGCTAAATATTTCGATATTTCCGACAAAGCTGAAGTTTTGGAATAATTCGCGGGTTCGAATTTTCGCGACGCGGTGGGATCTCAGTATAGCTTCCAACGCATTTAAATTACACCGGAATTGTTCGCGAGACCTATTTCTAGCGAATTGTAGGCGACTTTCGAAATGCTTGAGAAATTAGGTCCTTGCGTAACTTAAGTCCTTTAAGATATATATATATATATATATATATATATATATATATATATATATATATATATATATATATATATATATATATTGCAGGCCGTAGCGCCGAGAAAGCAACTCGCGGTCACGGACTTCCGTTTTAGAAATGGAAGTCTGTTTCTGCCATTTCGGATTTCTGCCATTTTAGAAATAAATGCATGGATAATGGAGCAAGAGAGTGGAACGTCTTCTCTAAAATTTAAGTGAAAGTGTAAGCACAGCTATAGAAGAAAAAATAGGTAACTCAAAGCCATTAGATATTTATTTCATATCAAACATTTTGAACGTGATAAAACTTCAGGAGAAATACAAAATTGCTAGCTCCTCTAACTTTAAACGCTCTAATTGATGAACGCAATGTTCTTACGGCATGGGTTATAAGAGGAGAACACGCGACAGTTAATTTTGTAATACAGAAAACAATACTATGACTCATCGACCAAGGAATGAATGTTACTTCACCTGAGAAAAACGGTGAGTAAAAGAGCCGTCAGCATGATGAGGGCAGCAAAAGCAGACATCCTCCTATACTCCACTAACGCGAAGTGATCAGTCAGAACTCCCCAGTTACGGACTGTACTGAAGCACACGTGTGCACAAATAAGAGGTAAAAAAGCTCCCGATCTATTTTTCTTGCAGTAGATACGTCTGGGATACACGTGTGATTTTTTTGAAGGACGCAGGAAAGCTCAACGTCTGCATCGATACCACAATCTCTGTCGAGTGCTGTGATGCTACCTGTCGCTTTCTTGTTTGGCCAAAATGAGTGTCTACGAGTGTACGGGGTTTCTCATCCTCCTCGCCAGTTCCTCTCTCACATATGAACAACACGTGACCATTGAACGGTACAAGGTTACATCTACGAACTGAGCGGTGCCATGTTCTGCCGTGGCCCTGCGTGGGATCGCGGCAGGTGACTACGCCTGCTGCCTTTTATTTGGTCGTGTAACAACAGCAAATTAAGGAATTAGGTTTCCTAGGCTCAGCTACCATTGTGCAAGCGGATACCGGCGTTCTAACGATGTGTGTAACACCGTTCAATTTGACAAATATGTTGTGCATCGATAAAATTGTAAATATACTAATTTCGACAGCGAATATTTTGTGCACATCCGTGAAAAAGGTTTTGTGGAACGCTCACAGCACTTCGAAGTACATCTTCGGGTATTCTTGGTATGCATCTAAACCAACATCAAACCGTGCAGTTGAGTTTTATTGGGGTGATTTGTTTTAATATGCACTTTGACCCCTAAATTTATCACATTTGAAGCGTGCGAAACACTACTTCAATGAAGTTTAGTCACTCTTGCAACAAAAGGTCGAAGTCCGTCATCTGAGCAGCTCGGTGGCTCTCGGAAATCTAAGAGAACCGTTTATACGTTCACGCTACTGCGAAGTTCGCGACGTAATCGAACAGGGATTCCGAGGAACGAAACACCACGCGGATGATTTTCGCAGCCGTTCACAATGCAAATCCCCATCTTGGTCTAGGCAACGCCACACACATTCGTTTATTCAAACTGCTCGGCGGGTCGGCTCGTCCTCTCGTCATGGTTCATCGTTCATCGGGGTCCCGCACGTCTCGACTGTCTTTTCTTCTCGTCGCTCTCGTTAAATCTACCAATCCGAGCGAGCGCCGAAGTCCGGCGCGCACAAATGATACAACGCGCACCGCGTCCGCTCCTCGAGTTTTGTCAGGCGAAACCTTCCGGGTGCCGGTCGGGACGCGACTAGCTGGTCGCGGTTCGTCCTCTGCTCCTCAGGATCTCGCCACCTCGGCCTCGCCTTCCTCGTCTTTGATTTGCTCATGTAATCGTGGGTTCATATACGGTTTAAACTTTATTTTCTATGCCTCCGCATCAGAAAAGTCACGTGACTTTCCCCCCCCTTCCGGGCGCTCCTTCCATGCAGGTGTGTATAGAAGACATGATGATAACATGGCACTGATAAGCTTTTGCTGCATCTGCTGAAACGATTAACCTTTATCTTCCCTAAACCGACAAGCTACGCCGACTTCACGTTCCTGTGGTGGTCCTGTTGTCGGGACGGCGCATGTGCAGACGCTACGCTTCACTGCAATCTGTGGGTTTCTCTACAAACGCAATGCACAGACCTGGTGGAAGCGTCGACCTGGGGCTCCAAGTCGGGCACTCCGGGAGAGACTATACGCAAGATTGCTTGCCGCCTTGATTGGCCAGGGCCGCGCTTTGCCTTGGCTCTGGCCAATCGCGGCAGTCGGCGATATTGCCTATTTTCTCGCCGAGTGTTGAACTTGTAGAACCCTTGCTTGTAAACGGTGTGTGAGTCTATATCAGGGTTGGGTATATTGACACGTGTGATAATACCTTTTAGCATGTTTTAGGCGTTCGATTCGATGGTATTTGCATATGCGCATACTTTTGTTGCATTACTTCAATTAATATAGTTGATGCTGGTTACAGCTTGTCTTCAGCGCTGCATTTAGCTTGCGTTTCTGCTTTATTTTGCTTTCATGTATATTATGAACACTAGGGACATAAATAAATCACGTCGACCCTTTGACTCTCTGCTTTCGTGCTAGGTTAGAAATAAATAGTGTTTTCTGCTTCACCACAGTATAATGTTGGTCCCCCTCTTACTCAATGCAAGCTTTTTTTTTTGAAGTGCATCTCCAGCGTCATCCTTATTGAATCCTCGGGTTGAGAGACCAAACACAGTGGGACCTTCTTGACGCTTTATTTTTTTTCCGGTGACTGCGAAGCAAACATTTACTACAGCGTTACGAAATGATGTATCCACTTCCTATAGAACTTCTATAGAGAACGAAATGTAGAGGGAGGCTAGATATGTTTTAAAGAAAATTCATCCACTGTGTATTGCTTTTGGCCGTTTTTTCAGTAGTCTTGTAATGGAATTCAGTGTATAGGGATTGGACAGAAATAGTATAGATTTTATATCGAAAACCTAAGTATTGTAACAGCGTTTCTATTGCATTTCTATTGACAATAGGACAGTCTTTTGAGAACCAAATAAATCAATCCTAGAGATTTATTTTAGGCTTCTCACAACGTATCCATAAAAACATGCGCTCTCTAATTGCCTTGTGAACATAGGCAGACATTACAAATACACACGCCATGTAGCATTTGTAACACCAGTAATTCATAGTATTGACTACACCACTGCCATATATACCCGACACTTCTAAAGTAGTCACGTGAGCGACGACCACTCCAGAAGATAAAGAGACTACAATTATTTTTTTTTGACAATAACTTATACACAATATGGTTTCCAATGTGCAAATACAAAGCTTGACAAAAAAAAGAAATCTGACTTCGCAATGACGTTTTAATTGTGTGTGGCGTTGCTTCTCTGCTCTGCGTCATAATATTGTATAAAGTCTAGTTTCTAGAAATATGGCGTCGGCAAATCTATTGACAAGTGCGATAGAAATTCGACTTCATTTCCATCGTCTGTACTCTAAAGATTTTGATTCAAAGAAGTCTACAAAAATTCGAATGAAAATTGTCGACCCGACGTGACTGGATAACAAGTTCAGTCATTAAAATGTGGATAAGATTTTTATAAACTGCATGACTTTTTTTTTGTAAGGGCATTTATAAGATTTATGCAGCGTGTGCAGCAGAACTGACATGGAATGTGTACTTCCATTTTACTAACAGTTTCTTCAGCCGTGCTAGTCGTGCGTCACGCATATTTCTACATTAAACCGTGTCCCGCAATACTTATCAAACACGCAATACTTAGCAAGAAATGTCTGAGCTGATATTTAGGGGTATATAGAAATTTCTGAGCTGATATCTAGGGGTATATTTAGGGGCAGGATATTTAGCTGATATTCATTAGAAATAAAAGGTAGCTCCTTCAGGATTTACGCTAAGGAGTGTGCCAGATGACTGAAGTATAATTGACAAAGGCGCCACAATCAAATACAATATATTTTTCTTTTATATTTTACCAGTTGTTGCTAACACAAGGAATTTTTTGCGAATAAGCCGATGGATCGCGCATCCAATCCATCTTTTCATCGCCTTGGATTCCTAAGTAGCGATATAGCTTATCCAGAGTATGCTCTGAGTGCTCTGTGAAATATCTTCCACGTGCCGACCTCTTCGGTGCCCCAACACCAATAAGTTGTTGACTCGCCTTATCCAGAGATTATCTTTAACGCACTTTTTTTTTCTACCGCCTAGCGTGATCCTTATTTTTCTTTTCTTTAACCTCGTCTTTTTTAGGACACGTGTGTTTGCGGTACCACTGTTCAAACAAGTATAAATGCACAAACAGTCGAAGAGTTAGGTAACGTGCCATTGGTCAGCTCTCTCCATCCCAATGGCGCATGAGCGCTTTCCTTCCTATCAAAGGGCCGACTGATGCCCGCCCACCTACCTCATGGCATGCACTTACACAGCAAGTCACGACGGCAGTCCAGCGGATCTTTCGCCGCCGCTATTCCTACACCATGATAAGTTGACGGCGCCGTTTATGAACAACAGAAATATTTAACTTGATGTGACTGATTCGTTTCTTCTGTGCACACGTGCAAACAAGCACTATGATAGGTTATAGTATCCACGCGTATTACGCCGTGGAATGCTTGCAGGCATTATTAATACGCAAGCATTAACTGCCCCATGGAGCGAAGCCTGTGTCGTCTGTAACCCTCTGTAGCAGTAAAGTGGCCCCTAACTTCCCATTCCCAATAAAACACAAAGAAAAGCACAGCAACTCGGTTGCTTCGTCACGGAAGCTGGAGGATGCGCTCAAGGTCAAAGCGGACGCACTTCAGAAATAAAACACAAAGAAAAGCACAGCAACGCAATGCTTCGTCACGGATGCTGGAGGATGCGCTCAAGGTCAAAGCGGACGCACTTCAGAAATAAAACACAAAGAAAAGCACAGCAACGCAATGCTTCGTCACGGATGCTGGAGGATGCGCTCATGGTCAAAGCGGACGCGCTTCAGAAATAAAACACAAAGAAAAGCACAGCAACGCAATGCTTCGTCACGGAAGCCGTCGTGAAGCCGACAGGGCTCGCCGCGCATGCGCAGTGGGGGAGCGTAATGTCACCGCCGGAGCGCCGTGTGCGAAAGGAAGAGGCGGCGCACTGCTTGTAGGAATGCTTTCGCATTCCTACACGTAGGCAATCTTAACTGTCTCTACTGCATTTTTTATTGGATAATACTGTCATCTTATCGGCTGCAGAGCGATCATAAGATGAGATGGGCTAACCTCGCCAAGCGCTGAATAAGCTGTTCGTGGCTAAAAAGCTCTACAACCCTGGTGCGTATCAGTGTGGTGGGCCGGAACGCAGTCGAGCTAACTCTCTGTCGTCTTCAAACGCTTTGTTTTCGAACAAGTCAGGCTTGCCGGTCTGCATATGTGAGTCGTGCTTGAGCAGAAAGCGCTGCAATGCAAAACGCATTGCGCCGAGGTGTTTGAAAAACTAGCACTAGGGGAAAGATTCAGATGTTTAACTTTCTAGCATAATGAAAACAAAAACTCAAAGAAATGTCA